GGCATCGAAGTGGTGAGCGAGCCCTCCTTCCTGAGCGAAGAGAAAAATCTGTGAGCCGGAGGCTAAAAAACTGTGAGCTAGCTCACACTAACTCAGCTTAGAAGGAACACTGGGCACCACCACAAACATTTGTAAAAAGAGATTGCTTTGTGAAGTATGCCTCTTCCCGTTATGGAAAACGACAATGGCACCTACTCTTTCACAATGGCATAAAGACTTGTGGGATTTATGTATTATGGCTAAACTCTCCGACAATCTTACACGATTTGATAAAGTACCTACCTGCCCCACCACATTTGTCCCCACATGGTTCTATATACCTCTCTGAAGGAAAAGGCAGAGTACATCATGCGAAATGCTGGCCTGGATGAATCACAAGCGGGGATTAAGATTGAAGAAGACGGGGACGGCAAAGGATGAGATGGTTAGACAGTGTCATAGATGCAACGAACATGAAATTGAGCCAACTTCAGAGGACGGCGGAAGACAGGAAGGCCTGGCGTGATCTGGTCCATGGGGTCGCAAAGAGTCGGACTCGACTGTGCGACTGAACAACAACAACAAAGTGATGGAGGTATTATGGTTATAGTAGTGTGTTGTATTTAGTGTGTTGTATTTAGCACTGTTTGTTGGTACCTTTGTTTAGGATTATGAAGTGTTAACTCATGACAAGTCTCTTAAATGATTTTTCAGAAACGTTTATTGTTATATACGTTGTTAAAGTGCACGATATGTTATATGGTCTTTTACGGATCACATCATATGTATGTCAGCTTCTCATACCTGCATTTAATGTATGTAATCTCATTGCAAAATTAATAAAATTTATTGTATATATAAAAAAGTATGCCTCTTCCCCATTCTATTCGTTTATACTAGGGGTACCATATTCTGAAAACCAAAAAAAGAAAGAAAAGAGGATGTATTTCCTGACTGGCTACTACAAACAAGTGATCACTATGGTAAATGTCATTTTCAATACCCCCTACTATTTCAGCTGTGATAATTGCAACTAGCTAGGAATATTCCTAACCCAATAATTCCTAACCCAATAATTCCTACTCCCAACCCACAAAGAGGACATTGTCATCATTTTTTAAAAAAAGCCCAAAAGAGGACAGAGGACACATACAAAAAAGAGGACATGCATCTGGCAACCCTAGTTTATACTGTTCTTTATTCAATCTGGCTTCAGTGCCAGCTGTTGATTTCAAAAGTCCTGGCATAGCAAAGAGAGTCCCTGTGAGCATGTGAAGAGGGTCTTTTTGTTTGAAGAAAATAAGGCATTTCAAAGTTTAAGGGCAAAAGATTATCTGGAGATGGGTAAAATATCTTTCCTTTTTGAAGTATGTTTTAGAAATATTAAAAAGGAAATATCAGAAACATAAGCCACTTTGGATTGGATCCAAAGGCAGCCTTCAGCTCATAGAAGATTCCTTCTGCGAGCTACCCAAGATAAACAGGCAGCTTATGTGAGGTAAATGGCCCCTCTGGATCCAAGCCACTGTTTGAAGCCATCCCTGTGTTTATATTCTCCTTTTCTGGCAAGTGACCTGGAAGACAAAACTCTGGGCAAGCCAGTAAACCTCAGGTTGCATGACAACCCTGTTTAGGCTGTTTACTAAAATATATTTATATTCCCTGTAAATTACAGAGCAGCTGCCATTGGCGGTTAATTTGAATGAATGCTAGTCGCCTACATGGGCAAGATATATGAGCCGTCTGCTGCTGAAGGGGTAACTATGAATTATCAAGGACCTTAAAATAACCAAAAGTTTCAAGTAAATACAAGGCAAGGCTGAGAGACACTGTTGGAATAACGTGTGTTTGTGACCTGAGCACCACTATTTTAGCAAATTGGTGGAAGATGATATCAAGGTTAGGGCCATCAGCAGGGGCGGATTAACCATTAAGCAGACTAAGGGTAAAGGTAAAGGTTCCCTTGCTCAAAAGCCAGTCGAATCTGACTTTAGGGTTGCGGTGCTCGTCTCCGTTTCAAAGCCGAAGAGCCAGCGCTGTCTGAAGACGTTTCCGTGGTCATGTGGCCGGCATGACTAAACACCAAGGCGCACGGAACGCTGTTACCTTCCCACGGAAGTGGTACCTATTTATCTACTTGCAATTTCTTGCTTTCAAACTGCTAGGTTGGCAGGAGCTGGAACGAGAGATGGGAGCTCACTCCATCACGTGGCACACTCGGGTCTCAAACTGCTGAACTACTGACCTTCCACAGCCTGCAGTTCAGCGTCTTAACCACTTGAGCCACCGCAGCTCCATAGCAGGGGAACTTACATTGGAGCAATTCATGAAGATATTGAGGGATGAAATACAAAAAGGTATCAAACAAGCTTGCGCTAACGTGCTTGGAAACTTACAAGGGATACAACGGGCCAAGGAAAATGAGGAGAGACGTAAAGAGACATTGGTGCAGGGCGGGTGGGACGATGTGGAACAACAGGCTTGCTGCTATACAGAGATGTTTGTCAATACCCAGCCCGCGCCGTTAATAGAAGTTAAAACGAAGAGGAGAGGATTGTCTTATCTAGAGACAGGGGAAAAAAGGAGAGACAAAATATGTTTGATAAGGAAGGAAGAAATAAAAAGAAAAGGGGAAAAAAGAGACCAAGACAAGGTGTGTGGAAAAGTAGGATTGAAAAGACAACCAGGAACATAATTCACATAGGTAAATCTCGATCTTTTAGTATAATTTTTTTTATGAATTCCGTCCCAAACTTTAAGTAAAGAGGGTCTCAACCAATGCTGTTTAAAATACTTTTGGGAATTTGCTTTCTCATACCACAAAAATGCTCATCTTTGCTCATCTTTGCCTTCTAAGTTGCTACCTTGCAAATGGATAAAATCAGCAGTTGCCCATGCACATACATTCTCAATGGTGGCTCCCACTGTTGGCCTACCTGAAGAAGTCAGGAAAGTTCCCACACTTCTGTCATTCCTCAGAATGTGCAAAACAGAAATGTTGAAGAGGGAATTTTTATAAACAGATTAGAACCTCTGTAGAAGGGAGCAGTCCAGGAGGACACTTTATAGTGAAACAAGACTGTATGCCGCCTTAACATGCTCAAGGTGGCTAACAAAAATAATAGTTGCATCGATACAGCATAGAAATCTGTGGGATGGGAGTAAGCCACTCTCTGTCTCTTTTACATGGAAGCCAGAAACATGACATCTGCAGGGACCATCCTTCCAGACTTTTGGTGCAGTATGCTATATATTGTATAGCCATTAGACTAGCAATTTGAAAGAAGTCTGCCCATGGAGCTGCGGTGGCTCGAGTGGTTAAGACGCTGAACTGCAGGCTGTGGAAGGTCAGTAGTTCCGCAGTTCGCGACCCGGGTGCCGCATGACGGAGTGAGCTCCCGTCTCTAGTTCCAGCTCCTGCCAACCTAGCAGTTCGAAATCAAGAAATTGCAAGTAGATAAATAGGGATCACTTCGGTGGGAAGGTAACAGCGTTCCGTGCGCCTTGGTGTTTAGTCATGCTGGCCACATGACCACGGAAACGTCTTCAGACAGCGCTGGCTCTTCGGCTTTGAAACGGAGATGAGCACCGCAACCCTAGAGTCGGACTCGACTGGATTTCGAGCAAGGGAAACCTTTACCTTTTTACTTACCTTACCTGTGTGGTCAACTAGTTCTGTCAAATGGTTGCAGTAAGGATGGGAAATAAAGGGCTGTACTTCGGCCTTCTGTCTGCCAGAGAAGGAACGGCCAAGGGAGGGCTGTTCTTGGGCAGTTCCTCCCATGTGGTACTTTTTGAGTGTGTGTCACGTGTGTACCTCTGTGGAAACTGGTCTCTGTGACATGCAAGAATACTGTGTGTGGGATGAGATATCTTGGTGGTTCTGAAGAATTTT